CACTGCAGTAGAATGAAGAAACTAAACAGCCTCTCTGCTGCACAGCCCTTCTCCTCAACATCAAGCTGATTGTGCTTTTAGTTCCTCAAACATTTCTGCTCTGGAGACGCAAAGAATCTCATTGGTTGAGTTGGACTTCAGTGGGCGGGGCCAGAGAATCCCCTTTTTAGAGATTGGCTGTCTACCAAAGTTCAGTTCAGCCAGTGAGATTATTTGTGCATCCAGAGCAGCTCTGCCTCAGAGAAATGTTTCCTGAATGTCCACTTTCAGTTCTTCACACCATGTGAGACCGAGGCAGGTCCCACTAGAAGGAAGCCTACCTGAAGACCTGCTCTCTATTCTGGGAACATGGAGGACATTTCATTAGGGACGTCCTGATCAGGTTCTTTTGTCCCCTACAGGTGCTTTGCTCAGTCTTTTAATATGACGTATCTGTCCACACAGAGTCCTGATCTGATACCTGTATGCTTGACAGTTGAATAATAGCTGTCATCTCATCTGATAAAACACATCATAGGTGGTCACAGGCCTTGTTGTAAAGCTCTAGTAGGACAGTGTCTGAAATATCCAGAGGGTAGGGCGCACCGTGACTCCAAAAGACTGTATAAACCTGTAATTCTCTACCACAGCTTTGAATTTAATCTTGGTAATCCTTTTGGCCTTGTCCCTGTCTGAAGGAAATGTCTCTCTCCTTTATAGTATCGTCAGTCTTTGTTGCTTTGGTGCAGCCTTTGCTGAGTTACCTGAGTTGACTCACTGTATTCTGTTAGCTGCCGTATCAAAGTGGTATTTTCTTATTTAATTTAACAGGGACAGTTCACATTAATCAACACCGTAGTTAGACTTCAATGTAAATGTACATCAGAACAATGTTTCCACAAGTACTGCAAGAAAAATACATTAAAAGTATCATGCATAACTACATTACAAAAGTGATTAAAGTGCGTGTCATGGGGCTACCCCATGCCTTCATTTAAGCCAGCGGTAGCATTGGTCTTAGCATGCTGAGCTAACCTTAGCTGAACATTAGCATAGGACTTTTAGCATTAGCATTACCTTTAGCATATGGGCTAGCATCAATGGACACATGGCTTGTCATTTCATGTCATTTCATGTCATTTCATGTCATTTCATTTCAGTTCATTTAAGTACTAGTCAGAAGAGTTGAAATCATGATTGGATAAATACAACACATACACAGTTCATTTCAAGTCATTTATTTTAGCTTACTGGATTTACCCAAGGTCATCCAAATGTTTGTATGTTTCATTCACCTGTTCTCATCCTCAAGCAGGGATCTGGGTTGAAGGGGCAAACAGGAAGTGATGGAGTGTGGAGTAATTTACAGTGCGAGCCAGTACAGAGGTACTGGAGTACCTTAAGTTGCTGTTTTGAGAAGCTTTGTTCAGCATGTAACATTTCATTTCTGGTTTTATAGTTGATATATTGTGTATTGATGTAGCCAGAAATATTCTGGACGGTTGAGGTAACATATTGGTGTTTAATAGATTTCCAATTAACTTTGGTTTGTCTTGTAGGAGGGGCTTCTGGTATAAAGGAAGGAGGCAGAGGCTCCTCTCAGCAGAGGACCTGTTATAAGTTTTTTTTGTGTTGTTTAATATCAGTTTGTAATAATTTGAGTAGTTTGTACTTAGTTTCCTTGTTTTGTTTTCTATTAAATTTTTGAGATATTTTTGCAATAATTCACCCTTGCACTACTGCACTTTCCACGTGTCTGGTGAAGAAATAAATTGAAGCACCAGGTGAAGAACTCCTGAGTCCATGTCTCCTCCTTCCAGCATGGGGCTAAACATTACAGTACGTATAAAAAACAACCATTTAGTTCCAAATATCATCAGTATAGTGCCTTATCAAGTACTGCAAGAAGATAAAATACAAGATAGTACATGGATACATGACAAAAGTGACAGTACAGAATGTAAAAAATGTTAAGATTATGTAAATTCTTGAAGATATATGCTTGAAGTCTGTTGTGCCTTAAGCCACGTCTGAAGTATGTTTAAAAATGAAATAGTTGTTGCATTCGCTCAATTCAATTCAACACATTTAGCTGATGCTTTTTATCCAAAGCGACCAGAGTGTGAATTATACAGTGACAACCGGGGGGGTCAACAATTTTTCCAGATCCAAAAGTAAACCCAGTACAGCACAGACGCGGGCTTCAGTGAACCAAAATCTTCCAATGCTTACAATATCCTTGCCTATTTAACTAATGTAAACAAATTCATCACACCAGTTCACGGGTGCCCCATACCACACGACAACTTTTGTAGTCAGAGGTCACCAAGAAGTCAAGAGCAAAACTGCCAGCAAGTCAGACAACAGCAGACCATCATGACCGCTCAAAACAAACCCACACATAAAATACAGTCTGCATTATTATCTCTAATTCCTAAGGTTTTATCATTCTCATCAAGTTTAAAGTTTCAACTCGCTCTTTTTTAGCAAATATCTCCTTTCCTCTTGTTCATGTTGTGAATGATGTCATCTGCATCCAATAAGCAGTAGTCTGACAAACACTGTTGTTGGGGAAAACAAATGCCATTTTATTGTGAAAGGACTCACAAAAGACTTGAAATGAAATAAAAAACCTCTATATTGATGTTAATAGGTATCTCTACAATAACTAATCCCCATTTTCACTGCTCATGCCTAAACACCAGTGTGAAATTACATAGTGACAATGAAATGATAGGGTGGACTCTCAGCTAGCTAACATCAGATGGCTCATTTTAAGTAAAAGAAATGCTAATTACGAATCTCTGAAGGTAGGAGAGATAAGTGTATTAAAGCAACTAGATAGTTAACTACTGACATTAACCTGCTGCGTCTCCATTAGCGTGTGATGCACCGGAATGGAGCAGCTGCGTTACGAGTGATGCAGACGGACAAGACATTTAACTAACGTCGATGTTAGGAAATGGTACGGTCCATTTCAGGGGTGTCTGAAATCGTCTTTCAAGACTTTTTTGAATATAAGGCACGAGTATGGGAAATGTATTGTAATATTTACAAATACAGGTAAGAAAGACCCCCCTGAACTGCTGGTTTTGCCTCTTTTGGGAGGGTCCAAGTCTTAACTAGGGGGGTCAGACCCCCCGTAATTTGAACAACTTCCAATTGCTCTACATGTCAGAGGTCGCACTCCTCTGGAGCAACGAGGGGTTAAGTGTCTCGCTCAGGGACACAATGGTGGATGGGTCCCAGTGGAGGATTGAACCTGGGTCTCTCACACCAAAGGCATGTGTCTTGTCCACTGCTCCATCACCACCCCCTAGTGAACTATTCCAGTAACGGGTAGCTGTAACTGAGAATGCCGTCTGTCCAAACTTACTACGTCTGTACTGTACAATACAGCCCCCTCTACTAACTGTTACCCCCCCTCTGCCATCCTTCTGCTTTATGAACTGGTTAAGTGGGGAGGGCTAGCCCATGTAACACCTTAAAAACAAGGCAAGCGTCTGTAAATTTTATTAAACTATCTAAACTGAATAGTTTAGTTATATACTGTATATTATTGAACACATCTTTGTTACTGCTGCCTGGTTAATTGTCACGATCCTGTCCTGAGCTTGTCTGAATTATATTATTTTGGCTGTGCCTTCTCTGTGCTTTGATTTTGGTTCCTCTGTGTCTGGGTTTCAGTCCTGGCTGTGTGTCTTGTTGGGGAGTCTGGGTTTTTATTCCATGTCTTTGTTCCTAGTCCTGTGCTTTAGTTCATGTCGTAGTATTTGCTTCTAGTTCTTTCTCTGCATCATTTTGGTTTAGTCTGCTCTGTGTTCTAGTTCTGTCTTCTCATTTAGGTTTTGTCTGCTATGATCCCTGTGTTATAGTTGGTCGGTGTGTGTCTGTTTACATGGGTTTCTGTTATTGTCTGAAATTAGATTCTTGTCAGGTAATTTGTAACGTGTTCTGTCTGTGTTGGTTATTAATTTTGCCCCATGTCTGCCTGTCAGGTGAGCCTCTCTGTTTCCCTGCTGTCTCTCTGCCTGCCTCGTTAACCTGATCCTGGTCACCTGTGTTGCTCCCTCCCAGCTCGTTACCCCGTGTGTGTGTGTGTGTGTATATATACTTGTTTGTTTCCTCAGTCTGTGTCCGGTCATTGTAGTGTGTAGACGCTCTGTCTCGTGTTGTATTGTTTTACCTGCCCTGCTCGTCGTGTCACCCTGTTTCTGTGGATTTTGATTACTGTTGGTTCAACTGTTTATTTGGACTCTGTTGTTTTTGGATTCTGGATTCAAGTGTGCTCGGTTTTAATTAAACCTTCTTTGAACTGCACTCGCTTGCTCTGTGTCCTGCATTTGGGTCCACCAACCTGCCCCACCATCAATCGTGACATTAATTCTTGTATTTCAGATACTGTATTGTTGGTTTGGACATCACTGCTGAGTGGATTGACATTTAATGCAATTGTAGCCAATTGGAATATAAGATTATTCCCTTCAGCTGAAGGGGCAAAAATAATCGTCAAATTTCTAGACTCACTCAGTTGTAGGAAGGTCTGGAACACCAGAACTTCACATGAATAAAACCAGCTGCCATGATTGCTGGATTTTAATGGGAACTATAATCCAATATTGTTGGCAAAACAATGGAAACTGATGTGTTTTAAAAATAATTTGATCTGAAGGCAACATGTAGATAGAAAATGAGAAGCCCCAGGATTGAACCCTGTGGTACACCACAAGAAATCACAGCCTGAGAGAAAAACTGAGAAACTTTATAAAGACGAGAACAAAAGCAATGAGAACCTGAGTCTGTGATGCCAACCAGTTTATAGACATGTTTCATTCAAACTGTGTACATTTTTTTTCTCCAATACTGAAGTATAACAGTACATACAGTATATTGACAGTATTGCATACATTTGTTCAAGATGAAACAAATCCAGACTGCATCATCACACTGAAGTTTAACAGTGTGTGACTCCCTCTAGTGGAAGTTGTGGAGTATCTGTTGTCTTTGCTCCAAAGGTTTTTGTACAGAGTTTTGGTGTTTCCTGTCACTGTGGGCTGCAGAGCACAGTAGTACACAGCAGAGTCAGACAGCTGAAGCTTCTGGATCTTCAGAGGAACTGATTTTGAGGTGGAATCAACTGTTGATGAAAACCTCTCCTTAAACTTATCCTCTGTTTTCACATCGTTCTGTTGCATGCGACTCAGCATGAATCTGGGGCTGTTGTTTCCATCCTGTTTGTACCAGAACAAAGTTGGACCTGGATAACTCGTCTCAAAAGTACAGTCAAGTGTAACTGTGTCTCCTTCAGCAGCAATGACATCTCCTGCTGGCTGGGTCACTCTGTCTTCTCCTTTACACTCTGGGGAAGAAGAGAACATGCAGAGGAAGAGATGGATCAATAAAGATGATTGATTAAAGGAGAACAATCAGTAGGTTTAAAGTGTTACCTAGCCAGAGAGTCAGAATCAGGATGTTTCTCAGCCAGTGGTTCATGTCTGCAGTGAGAGGGGAGGAGAGAGAGGAAGAACATTGATACTCTGATGGATCTGGGCCTTCACATCATTGGCCCTTCCTCTTCATCATCTGTTGAGGAACTCTCAACATTACATCTCATTTACATCTCAGCTGTGAGCTGATGCTCTTATCCAGAGCAGCTCATAATGAGGAGCTTTAACATGTGAACTTTCTGGTACAACAAAGTCTCTTTAACCACTTTTATTAGTGACCAAATCCATGACAACCCAGAGTTGAGACCAGGAGGCGGAGTCGCAGTTTAACACACTTCTCTGCCTTCTTTTTCAGCAGTTACCCACCCAAAACCCTACGCAGAGTCGCAGTCTAACACACTT